ATTGCTATTTTGATTTTTGTTTTGGTCAGACATAAATTGGCGGTATAGGGGCTTTTTTCGTGCTACTGATAAAATTCTGGATATTTATGTTGCGGACTGTATTAAATATATAAAATATGAGTTTGAATAATAAACTAATTTCATTTCAGATTTTATATTGATAGAAGTGTACTTTTTTTGTCATATTGTATGCATCACACTTTCACACATTTATATATTTATATATAATACTTTTATCAGTTATACATAGTAATAATCAATATAAAAAATTGTTGTGTTATATATCTCATATCATAAAATCTTAAAATAAAAATATACCAGAATGATTACTGAATAATGAAATCAGCTATAAATCTAATTTTGTGATTTTATTAAATAATATACAATTTTTTTATTTTTTAAATCTAATAATAGAATCCTGCCAAATTTAATGATTTAATCTTTGCTTAAAATTGAAATAATTATGACCTCCTACTTTTCAATAACAAAAAGATTGCAAAATCTGTTGTTAATAACAAACAATCAAGATTTTCTTTTTTCTTTACTTAAAAGAGTAAATATTATAGTTAAATCTGTTAAAACTTGTAAAAAAAAATATTATTTGTATGTGTTGAATATTTATTGATACAATTAGAAATAAAAGTGACCTTGAATAAGATTGCATTTGAGTAAATATTCAAATAATTAATTTAAAACTTATCATAATTCTGTTAACTGTTCATTAATAATAAAACGTATTATTAATAATAAGATGAAGAAATCAATTATATAAATGGTATTTATAAAAATTTTTGAAATGTTATAATTTATTTTATAATAAGTTTTTTAATTTTTTTTATTATATATAATTTAAAATATTTAAAATTAAATTTTTTTGCAATATATTTAAAAGTTAAAACTCTATTTATAAATAAACTATAACTTAAAATAATATTTATATTAAGAAAAAATTGTTTAAGATTTTCATTACAAAAAATAAAAATAATTTCTTAAATTGATATTTTCCAATTTTTTTTTTTTTTAAAAAAAAAAAGTTAAGATAAAAATTTAGATAAAATAAGTATCAGAATATGAATAAAAAAAGATCAACTTTAATCAAAAAAATCAAAAAATTGATAAAGAAATAATACTTTAATCCTTTATTTAATATATAAGGGCTCATGCTAAGGTTATTCCTATGTACTGTATGATTGTTCATAATAAGATTACTCTACAAAATATTTATATCTTACATAAGCCCAACAAGGTAATTAGTAATATTATTATAACCATGTCATTTGCACCTGAAATAAAAATAACCACTATAAGAAAACGATGATAAGAAAATATATAAGCGATATTATACAATAATCATTCCTTACTTACCATATTTTATTAACGTATTTGTGTGCGAATATCAAACGCTGATTCCCGTTTCTTTTCTTTTTCGCCGTTATTAAAAATATTCCAAAAACGCAATGTTTCATCACCAGCACCAGTAACAATATTTTCTCCATCAGGTGAAATGGAAAGAAATAGGACACGATATGTATGACCTCTTAAAACTGCTAATTGTTCCATGGAAGGGTACTGCCAGAGAATTACTTGATTTTGAGAATAACCATGGGTTGAAACTAGTTCATTTGAGTGCCTAGACCATGCAAGGTTACAAACCTAAATAATACAATACGAACAATTAATTAAATGTATTAAGATTAAGAGAAAATATAAAACTTACTTGGGACTCAGTATCATAATATTCTAACGCTTCACCAGTTGAAGTACTCCAAAATCTAATGTGTTTATCTTGGGAACCACCACCACTTGCCAAAAGACCATGCGAATGTGGACTCCAAGCAATTGCTTTGACAGCCGCTGTATGATGAAGAAATTTATGAAGGGGAACATCATTCGCAATGTCCCAAATTAAAAGCTTATTATCGTTCCCTCCGCTGGCAAGTTGTGTTCCTTCCGGATTCCATTTGAGGCCACAAACCTAATTAAATAATTTATTAATAAATTCATCGCAATACAAACATCTATAAAGAAACTGTTCGCACCTCTTGTCGATGTCCTATCAATTTTTTTGTAAAATCTCTTGGGACTCTTACATCCCTATGGAAGATCAGCCTGTCACGGCTTCCTGAGCTAACTGTGTATTGATTCCAAGCCAAGGCACCTTTAAAGCGCAAATTAAATTATTAATCATTGTAAAAGAATTGTTATCTAAAGACTGGATTAAAAGTAGGAAATCAAGACATACGAACCAACTCGTTGGGAATGGCCTCTCATTTTTCTAACTCTTTTTCTTTTTTGTACATCCCAAATTTCCACAGGACCTAAAGTTGTACCAATAGCTATGTGTGAACCCTGTAAAAAAAAACCCCCCATTAGATATAAGATTCATTATTAATATTATATATAAAAGGTAATGTTTAAAATCTACCGTAGGCATCCAACTGACTGAAGTGACGTTATCAACACTGTTTCTATGACTACCTTGACTTGATAAATCACATAGTTTAACGACCTATTTTAACAAACCAAAAGTGAGTTTCGCCTCTTTTTATGTTACGCTACTTCAATCAATAAATTAATTACACTTGACGTGGCAGCACTCCAAAGATAGACACAGGTCCCTAGACCTACGGCTAAAACGTTACTTGAGGACCAATCAACCAAGTTCAAATAAAAATCATCCTGCATAGTTATTTGTTTAAATGTTAAATAATGGGTTTTTTTATATAATTATATGCAAATTAAATAGATGAATACCTGTAGGTCTGGAGCATCAAGCACTTTATATGGATGTTTACTAATGTATCTCAATGGTTTACGTGGACTAGTCAGAATCATTTGCGCTTCAAATGGAAGAGGGCTCGATGAATAAGAATTTCGGAACGGTGAATCAATAGCGTTCGATTGTTGCTTAGTCGGTGTGCTATAAGGTAATACTGTTTTCTGTACTTTTGATGGACTATTATTTATACGTCGAATAATTTCATCTGTTGTATTTTTAAGAGGAAACATCGACTTTCCTAGGACAGCCCTATATATACGACCGTCCTCTTCTAATAATCAAATTAGATATCATATTATAAAATAAGGTTCAAGTATAAGAATGATATTTAATTACCTTGCTGTGCATCTTCCTCGATCACTGAAATTTTTCGTTTTTTTGTATTGTAATCGATATGCGATTGACGGAAATCATTAATCGGATCAGGGGTTCTTAGATGTATGTGCCTAGAAATAGATAGAACTAATATTTAATATAATGTGTTAAAATTGCTATATAATTCAAAAAAGAAACTTTAGTTACCGGTCATAAGTAGTAGAATTATTTCTTGGAGGAGAAGCCATTATATTTATTACAGATCTTATGGGGAGATCGGATGTAGAATCTTGTTCAATTCCTTGTATGTTTTGACGTGACTGATCATAATTATCTTGTGACATTTTCACTCGACGTATTATAACGACGTTAAGTTACAAAAAAAAAGGTATATTGTACTGTACAAAAATAAACTAGAAAGCGAAGCTTGGTGAATAATTTAAGTTTGAGGTCGGAACCCAAGTAAAAAAAGATATTTAAATAATATTTGTTTATGGTAAGTTAAGGCAGTTTCACAACTTACCGTTAATAACCGCTATAACGGTTATAGGATACTTTTATAGTAACTGATAACAGTTACTGAGTAAGTTTTTAGGAAACGAAAGGTAGAAGGAACGTGTTGAGCGTTATTTAGATGTATTTATGAGGTTGACCTGTTGGTTTATTATCTATAAAGGTTTGGTGATTCGATTGAACATCCAATCATCATCAGTATCACATGTTTTCCAAAAAAATTTCTTTAATCAGTTAGTACCAACCGCGAGTGACGCCTTCAGGTAATCACCATAATTCGCCTAGGATGATATTGTACCAACAAGTAATTCGATATTTGGTTAATTTATTTTTTATATGCGTTCTAGAAAGAATATATATAATATATAACTTATTTAAGCTTATTTATAGCCTTTACAGTAGCGGTCATAAGTATCCGACCGCCTCTAACTCCGGCTACAAGTAAGTAAATTCAAAATTTTTTTTTTTA